TTATATCATTGCTAGGAAACACGCCCAAACTTTATTTTGGCTTATACTTTGCATCATGTGACAATCACATGGTTCACACACAAGCACAACATGTTGTATCCCATAATTCTTATCAAGATCACAAAATCTAATTCTAACATTTTCACAACGAGATTTTTTATGCTCGACATAGAGAGGACAAAACCCTCTCTATAACAACTATGCCTAGTGTGACTTAGTCCATACCTGTCAAGAAACTTATGTAGAAACAATGTCAAATGGCACCCGACAAAGCTCATGTAACGCTCAACGCCAAAGGAACGAATATTCTTTTCCAACCTACTTCTGACTCTACAACAAGTGTTCTTTGATTGGTTTCTTCAAGCTCTTAACCAAGTATTCTTTCACCAACAAGCCTCTTGAGGCTTAATAACAAGTGTTCTTTAATTGGACTCTTCAAGCCACTATCTAAGTATTTTTTTTATAATCAAACATCTCCAATCTCTACCCTATAACAACAATTATCGAGGTATTTCAAGGTTGTTACAATCATCTCTATAAGACGTGAAATATAACATTATTTTGGTACAAAGATTTTTCTACAAAACAAAAGTTATACAAAAAATTGTGTCTATGAATGTTCTTGTATTTCAATTGAATTGGCTTAGTGATGTCTTGATCTTCAGAACTTCTTATATAGTAGCTTTGAAGAAAATGACTGTTGTAACACTTTGCATCCACCTTACAAGTTTGCTTCATTTATTTTCATCATTTTCCTTGTGGTAGCAAGTAATCGTTTGGCACAATTAATGCAAGCATTTAATGCATCTCACCAAATAGTACCTCTTATTTGATTCAGGAGGCTACTTATCAACTTTCCATATCAAATGGAGCTTGCAGAAGCAATGTCAATGCATAACAATTATTGTAATTACTTTATCTACTTTTCCCTGTGGTTTTTGGGATTTAGTTCTAACAGAAAACATGGTTCTTCTCTTTAACAAATTTGTGAGTTTTGATATGGTCTTTTAATTCGATTTTTTAAGGAATGAAACATTCAAAGTGAGCTTTGTCATTAGTCTCAATAAATGATAAATATTTCATGTATATGAGATAGATTGTATACTTCGACTGATCGACAATTATTTTACAAATGATTTACATCTTACACTTCATTTGATAAGTCTTTCATAGATATGTTTCACAAAGACATTTTCATAGACATTTCTTCTATATAAAAATGGTTTGTTTGTTAGTACTAAAACTTTGAATTTAGGGATTGTCTTTCGACTTAACAGTTCCCATCTTTTCTTAGAAAGGGAATTCCTTCACATGGTGTGGATACTTTAGGTCATATACATTTACCTCACACAATTTGTGCTTAGTGCAAATAATCGTGCAACCTAGAGAGTGAGATCTATATATCACAAGGGTCACAAATTTGCAATCCTTGGTTCCATTCAGGACTCACAACATTCTTGTTATGTTTTTAAACCCTCAATCAACTACACAAACCACTCAATCACTAAAAACCTTATTTTAGGGACGAGGGAGATAAAATATTAATCAAAGGAAGGGGAAGGCAAGAGATGGAGCACTCACTTTAAATGAAATAAAGACAAACTTTAAAGCTTAAGGTTTATGATATTTACTTATGTTCTTTTCTCTTTCTATTCCTCTTCTATTTTTCATTTCTTTCTCTCTTTTCTCCTTTCCTTTCTTCCTTATTTTATAACCATGTGTGTGGACCTAGTGGGCTTTGGTCTAATTTAGGCCATCAAAGTTCCATCTAAGTCTTATTATATCGCCATTGCCAATTTTTAATACAAAAGTAGTTATAATTAATAAAGTGTAAAGTATTTTTAAACCATTTAATATAAGAACAAGATTATATCAAAATATGTTTGTATCATTTATTTCTAAAATCCAAAATTAGGAATGTTAAGTTTTTGCATAAGAAATTGTGTTTCTATCCCCATGTTAAAATTGTATGACCTTATAAAATCAAGATTTTCAAATTACATCTAATATGCCTTTTTCTTAACAAATCATCATGTAAGTAAAATTAAATTTAACAAGAAAATTGAGAATAAAGTGGGAAAAAATCTATAGTTGGACCTTAAATATTAACTCACCTAGTTTTAGTATCTTCTTTGATTCAAAACAAGTATTCAAACCATTCTTATGGTACAAACACACAATTATACTCTTAATATATATGTTTAAACTAAGTGAAACTTTTCAAGACTTATAAAGAAGGCTAAATTATATTTTTTTGACCCTTTATTTATTTTTAAGATTTAATTTAGTCTCATTATTTTTAAAAGGTTCAATTTGGTCTTTTAATTTTTAAAAAATGTTCAATATTTTCCTTTCCTCCAAATTAACATTAATGAGGTTAATGAAATTAGGTGAAAGGACAATATTTGAACATTTTTTATATTATAAATTAGATAGCCAACTTGAGCATTTTAAAAATAGTGGGATCATATTAAACATTTTAAATGATTCAACTTGATCATTTTATTTTCAAATGATATTTAATATTGTCCTTCCATTGGATTTCATTAATATTGTTAATGTCAATTTGGACATAAAGATAACATTGAATATTTTTTAAAAATCAGAAGACCAAATTACACCATTTAAAAATAGTGGAACCAAAAATATAATTTAACCTATAAAAAAATTAAAATTAAAAATATTTTGACATTGAAAATAATTTTAAATATTATTCTATAAACATTACATACATGTAAAAATAATTATTTTAATATAATTTAATATTTTTAATAAAACATTAATTTCTCTTATTAGTATTTATTTTGATATTTTTAATTTAAAAAATAAGTTAATACCACTAATATTAAATTAATGTTGATTAAAACTTAAATTTATTTCAAAATTAATATAATATATTTTTTCAATTTATTCTCTTTTTAAATTTTCATTTGTTGGAATTGATGTGAAGAAATTCAAATTGATTTAATATTTTAATATTTGTTCAAATAAGTTAAGTATACAAAGATAAACTAATTTAATAAATAAAATATATTATTTAATAATTTAAACTAAAATTATTTTTTTAGATAATATAAAAAAATATATTAAAGAAGCGTAAAGAAGTAGTCTCAATCACCTTATTATCACAATCAATTTAACGTAATTAAATATTAAAACTTAATGTTAATACAATATCACTTATTAAGATAAACTATTAAGTTTAATAAAGATTTATAAACTATAGTTAAGAATTTTTTTGAATCCAAACTGACATCATAAAATAGTCATGACTAAAAAGTCAACTAGATAAGTAAATTTATTTACAAAACAAGATGATATAAATGTTAGAAGTCAAGATTTCCTTACATCTAGTATTTCATCTCATTGCTTCATGTAGAGAAAACTCATCCATTAGTACTTTAATTTTTAATAATACGGTTAATTTTAATGGTTTTAGCTTAATCAAGGTACAATGATCTCTTAAGAAGAAACCAAACCTTTGACATGTGAAGATTTCCTGCTTTTGCGGCTAGTGGGTGTGTCCTGGCGTGTATATAAAAATTCTCATTTTTCTTTTTCTTTTCGATACTTTTTTATGGGTCAAGAATCAAAACTAATTATTAACGACATGAAGAAATGTGGAGGCTTTAGTATTTGGTTGTTTCTTTTAAGATATGAAATATGGTGGAACTTAATTTTTTTTTGGGAGATTGATTGTGTAACATGAATAAAAAAAAAGAGCCATAAAAATAATAATAGAGGAGCCCCTAATCCATGAGCGAAGAATATTAGAATAATTATATTCTTTTGCATAGAGAAAATTAAGAAGAAAGTAGAAACATGTCTATACATTAACTATTGTTGCTACGACAAGTATTTCCTTAATGTATGATTATGATATTCAAAGCTTAGAAGCGTTTGGGCCAAGAGAATAATTGATGTCATGTTTCATAAATGGCTTTTCTGGTCTTGTGGGTCCAAGCATCCGCAAAGAATCCCCAAAAAAGAGCAATACATCATTAACAAGAAAAATAAACCTCTACAAAGATAATAATAAAAAAATTGATCACCCAAGTAATCTCCATATTTTTTCAAACATAAAGTTGATGGGCACACCACCAAGCATAATATAAAACAAATAAATAAACTTTACCCAAATCGATTGACCAATTGTTGTTGAAAATGTATAAACATTTTTACCAGAAAAGGTAAGTTCTTTCATACAATCCAACGGCCTTAAGTCAAAATGCAAACACACTTCCTCGGATGCACACGAACGTTTCTTTTTACCTTTCACTCCCACTATGAATAGTAATCCTAGTATTTATACTTTTTCACGTAGATTTTTTGGCAAAGATATATTGAATGTTCCAAGTCATACATGAACATGCTTAAAATATGAAAGTAATTTGTATGATTGTGTAATAAAAAATAATAAATAAAGAATAACTATTATGTAAGGAGTAAATGACTTTTTGAGTTTCTCAAATCAAATATTATTATACATTTAGTGATAAATTAGTTAAAATTTAGTAATATTTAATTTGATTTAAAATTTTACTTATCAAATTAAGAAATATTGAATTTTACTTAAGTATTTAAAAATGAAAAATACTTTTAGAAAAATTATATTATACTCACTTTTTTTATGAAAATAAATGAAATTATTGAATGATATGATTGATTATGCATAGATAGAAAAAAAAATGTTAAATATCACTCAAGTCTTTAAAAATGTGAAGAATATTAAAAAAAATACAATTCCATAATATACTCAATTAGGTGTATGAAAAAATGTGAAGGTATTGATGTGTGGTTAATGTTATAAGAAAGCACCGCGCCAAATGCAAATTATGAGTGGGTTTGGGGCCCAAGTTTTTCACCACGGGAAGGAATATTGTCTAAAACACGATCATGTCATGTAATTAAGCAATGCTAATCTTGTTTGGTTTTAATATTATTAATTTTTTTTAATGAATAATACCCTACTTCTTTAATGAGTTCTTTTAACCATGCCTGTCTGTGATTGATTGCTTTAGTCTATATTTTATGTCGGCTTGTTCACATAAAGCACCAAAAAAAAAAAGCTGTCTTCCTTTTGTTCAGCCCCTCTGATTTCTCGGCGACAAGTCAGTTTTCTCAACTTTGGTCCTTGTTACCTTAATCCTCACGAACTCTAGTTCCCCATTTTCTGTTTTCCCATTTTGGTTGATTCTCTTGTGTTTCTGGGGTTGTTCATGCTGCTGATTAGTATGGTGCCTTGAAGGTGATTCCTTTTGTCATGTTTTTATATGGGCTTCAGTTTTTGTTTGTTATTTTTTTTTTCCATTTTTTAATTGGTTGGTGTCACTGTGGAAATGGTTGTTGTGATGTATAGGTTTTGGCTTCTTGGGCACCCTCAGCTTCGGTTATTTCAGCTGCAAGGTTCTTTTTTTATTTTTTATTTTTATCTTTTTATGCTGTGGGAGAATTCCATTGAGTCCTTGGATGTTGGGGGAGAGAATTGCTGAAAGTGGAGGCTTTGTGTTGAGGTTCTACTAGTTGTTGCATTTGGAACTTGGCTGGGGTTGGAGACGACAATTGGTGGCGTTTCTGGGAAAAGGGGTGAGCTTTTTGTTGATTCTGCTCGATGTTATTGGAGAACTTTGTGGTTGGCACCAGAGGGAGTTCTGCATCTTGTTGTTTGTTTCTGGGGAAGTGGTGTTGCTGTTTTTGGACTATGAGTTGGAGTTAGAGTTGTTGTTACTGTGGAAGACTTGGGGAACAAGGTTGAATCTTGTTGCTAGAAGAAGACCAAGTGTGAACTTGTTTGGGGTCATCACTTTTATAGGTGGTAATGAAGGCTCCTCCCAATAGTTACTTGCCAAATTCTGGCGAAGGTACTTTTTCTCAATGTTCTCTCTCTCCCCCTCTGTGTGAGTGTGGTGGTGTTTTCCTGTTTCATCAAACACTAACACTGCTTTGGGTCTCCGAGGATGATTACTTTCAAGGAAAATGATGCTATTACTTTGTTGAATTAACATAATACCATCATAGATCGAATAATACATGAGTATATCATGGTGAAGGGAAGTTGGTATTATTCGTCTAACTTTTTATAGTTTCTGATCTTTTTGGTTACTTTTCTCGAGTTTTGTTTGCCCTCTTTTCCATGAGGTGTTTCCTTTTTTTCTTGTGATCTAAACAAAAGCCATGCCTTGGCATGCTACTTTGGCTTTACTTTGTTGCATTTCCCCCCTCTTTTTTTCTGACCTTTTATTCTTGTCTGGATCTTTTCTTGGTTGTAAACGCCAAATCCAAATGTGCTTGATATAAATCTAATGGAACTAAATTTAAAAAATTCTGGGAAATCTTCTTGTTTTGTTGCCTTTCAGTATGTATAATTGTGAAAAAAATGTCTATTGTTGCTTGTGTGATTGGAGTGATCTTCCCCTTCCCTCTCTTTCTTCTACACTATAAAATCAAGTGCAAGAAGTAAAATGATGAATACATTTATATGATGGTCTTGTGGAAGAGATTATGATCTTTATGGCTGCAAATGTATATAAAAAAAATTGTTTTAAAGCTGAATTTAAATTCATTCTCACCTGTGTTTCATGAATGATTGACTTAATGTTTCGATTTGCAAACCAATTAGGACACTGAGTCTACTGATAACAAGGTCAGAGGAATGGCAAGAATATGCAAGATCTGCTCCTTTGTTTCTGGGCATTAAATATGCTTTTTGACAACTGTAAATATGTTTGCATGCTAGTATTCTTTGACAACATGCTTGAAGAAACTATTTTCTCCTTGTATCTTTATAATCCTGAAAAGTATAATCAGTCTTGTTGGCCTTTATGTCACCTTCAATTGGAACGGAATGTCCAAGTCCATGCCTTATATGGAGTTGTGTTTCTTTTATTGTCTTTAATGTTGTACTTGGTGCCTTTTAACATGGATTCTACAATTTCAGTCGTTTCTTTCTTTATTTCAACCCTTGATCATAAACAAGATTGAATAGTTGCCATTTATTGTTTAATAGTATCTTTTTTGTTAAAGATGTAACCTTATGTCTGTGCCTGTTACAGGGGAAAGGAAGACCATCAATTCAGAGTTATGGCATGCTTGTGCTGGACCATTGGTTTCTTTACCTCCTGTTGGAAGTCTTGTGGTTTACTTCCCTCAAGGACACAGTGAGCAAGTATGTTACTTATGCCATAGTTCTAACATCATGGTATTTCTTCATTGCGGTTTGTGATGGAGCTTCTTTTGACTACTATAACTTTCAGGTTGCAGCATCCATGCAAAAGGAGGCTGACTTCATACCCAGTTACCCTAACCTTCCATCCAAGTTGATTTGCATGCTTCACAATGTTGCTCTGCACGTAGGTGCACTTTCCTCATGTGACATGGCAGTACTGCAATAATGATTACTTTTGACAAATAAAAATATTAGAAGAATAGATGTATTTCATCTCTACTGAGATTTATTTTCCTTGAAGGAGCATGTGCTAATTATTCAACTTCTCTCACATTTTTGAATCTTGGCTAGACATCAGGAATTCAGGATAAACTAGTATGTTAGGAATGCATTTTTTGAAGAAAAAATGTGCTATTTCTACATGACATCTTACAAATTATGTCGATCGCCTTCTACCAAAACGTGAAGTTGAATACTTTGCATTTTGCAAGCTGTGTTTTTGTTTCCTCATTTGCTTAACATGGTGTATGTCAATTTGCGACCTAATTCGGATAATAGTTATAAACCAACATGGTTGGATAGCTTGAAGCATAAGTACAAGAATACTACTTTCTCAAGCTTTTGATATGGTGGCTATTTTTTATTTTCTTGTGTGGACGTATTACATAATAATAATACATATTTTTATATTATTTTTGCTTTGGATCAGGCTGACCCTGAAACTGATGAGGTCTATGCACAGATGACCCTTCAACCTGTAAATAAAGTAGGTCTGCTGTTCATTCTGATAATTTATTGATATGTATATGGGATCCATTTCCCACCACTCCTTGAACATGCATCCTGGCCAATGATAGGGAACTTATCAAAGATTGTGTTTGATGTAACTGTCCTACAGTATGACAAGGAAGCAATATTGGCATCCGACATGGGTCTCAAACAAAACCAACAACCTACTGAGTTCTTTTGCAAAACTCTTACAGCTAGTGACACAAGCACTCATGGTGGATTTTCGGTGCCTCGTAGAGCGGCTGAGAAAATATTCCCACCTCTGGTGTGTATTTAACATTTTCATTTACCTTGGAAAAATTTAAAAGAGTTTATGTTTTTTTTTCAATGCTGACCAAAAATGTGTTTGATAGGACTTTTCAATGCAACCTCCAGCCCAGGAGATTGTTGCCAAAGATTTGCATGACAATACATGGACATTTAGGCATATTTATCGCGGTATATCAACTTTTACCTATCATTCATTGCCTTTATCCTTTAATTTATCATTTTTGGTTTATTTTTATACATGCCTTGTTGATGCCCCAATAGGATTCATTGTTATCTAAACCACAATAGCATATATTATCTTGTAAGTGGCGTGAGTTCATTTTGATAAAACTAAAGATATCCTAGAAAAGTTCTAGGAAATATTGGGATTGTGTAATAAGTTTGACCAAATTATGAATATAGAAGTTGAGTATTTGATGTTTTACATGGTTGAATGCTAAAATTGTTAGAACACTGGTTACAGGACAACCAAAGAGGCATCTATTGACTACCGGTTGGAGTGTCTTTGTTAGCACAAAAAGGCTGTTTGCTGGAGATTCAGTTCTTTTTATCAGGTAAGGAATATTTTTGTTTGTTTTGAAACTTCTAGAATAATTTTCACCCTGTTGCTGAACCAATTATTTTTGGTTATTTTTAGAGATGAAAAACAACAACTCCTTTTAGGTATAAAGAGAGCTAATAGACAGCAGCCAGCACTATCTTCATCAGTAATATCAAGTGACAGCATGCATATTGGCATTCTTGCTGCTGCAGCTCATGCTGCTTCAAATAATAGCCCATTTACTATATTTTATAATCCAAGGTACTATTTGTATTTGGCATGTATTGATATGATATGAAAACATGGCATGGTATCCATTGAATATTTGTGATAGCCTCTTATAGACATCTGTCAATTTAACAGGGCCAGCCCTTCTGAATTTGTAATTCCATTGGCCAAGTATAATAAGGCTCTGTACAATCAAGTTTCCCTTGGAATGAGGTTCAGAATGATGTTTGAGACTGAGGAGTCAGGGGTACGCAGATATATGGGTACAATCACTGGGATCAGTGACTTGGATCCTGTCCGGTGGAAGAATTCGCAGTGGCGCAATCTTCAGGTATTATGAAACTGGTTATCTTTCATGAAGAGATGCATTATTTGTATAATTGCATTGCTAGAGAAGAACCAGAAAAATTTAGTTAAAAATAATCTAAAACATGCAATATTGTTTGGTGACCTATAATCTACATGTGCATGAACACAACCATGTAATACTATGTGTTTCACTGTAGTCAATACTGAGCCTATATCATAGCTTCTTGAGACAGTCAAGTTTTGAATTTTGATAGGTTGGATGGGATGAATCAACAGCTGGTGAGCGCCCGAGCAGGGTTTCAATTTGGGATATTGAACCAGTAGTGACTCCTTTCTACATATGTCCTCCTCCATTTTTTAGGCCCAAGTTCCCCAAGCAGCCAGGAATGCCAGGTAGCAAGACGATATCCCGTAACAAGTCAAAATTTCGTTCTCA